GTGTGACTAAATAAAGTGATAGACCATACGTTGATGATGACCAATGGACTAAATATATATATGAAGCGATTACTCACCGAATGCAATGGAAGGAGATTGTGTAATATCACAAACTGATAAAAGTTAGTCATGGGAACCATTGCATGTTAATTCAATGATTTAACTGTTAAGGATTTGTTACGAGACCTCAAGGTCCTGGTTTCGATCTCTGGTAGGGTGAAGGTTGTTCACCATTGAAAAGTCTCATGCTACTGTGAAATAACTAACCAGTAATCTCTTAATTTCATTAGTTGTCTAGCTATGACCGGTCAGTGATTGGAACAATATACTTCACAAATTTCCACAAAACCTTATACTAAATATGTTAATTGTTTGCTGATCATTTTCTAAATTGTCTTTTTATCGATCTAATTAGCTTTCCTAATTATTATTATGTAAACAATAAAAAGAGCGTTTTGGTTAGAAAGCAGTTATGGTTTTCAGATACTGTATAAAATTTAAACATGTCATTAGTCTTATCGTTCATTGAGTTATGTGAATCTCTCTACTTCATATTTCATACATCAGTTTATTCTGCATTTATACGAATTTAATTCGTTTAAATGCTTTAAAATAGAACCAACCAATAATGTATATCGTTTATATATGAACGTTACATAATAGCTGTTAATTACTGAACAAAGATTTTTTGATCGAATGATACTGTGATTATTTCATCAGTATTATTGTTTCACTTTTAGTTATCATATGTGAATGTATATTTAAAACTTTTAAAGCCAAAAGAAGTAATAGTCAAAAATATACACATCAGTTAAAAGATAATATTCACATACGATTGTGAAGGTAATATTTTATCAGTTTATCATAGATATAAAGCAAATTACAGAATTTGTAGGTTTATGTTTAGTACAGAACAAAAGTAACTATGTTTTTGTAATGAATGTGAATTTTTAATGAGTTTTGTGTGTGTGTGTGTTTCATAAAGTATTCTATAATACATATAATCACTACATAAAATCAGACGATATTAGTTTGGCAGAGTATAATTTAGTCTGTGATATTTTGTTATCGGTTATCCATTTACTTTTAAACCATTAGTAACTTGGTGAAATCCAATAGAATAATCACAGTATCCGTAGAATTTTGTTTTGAAAAACAAACAAACTGGAAGAAGTTGATTATTCACAGACATTTTTGTATAGTTGAATCATTGATTATGAATAGATGGTTATTAGAATGATATATATTAAGAGAAACAAATTTTAACATAAATCATAGACCATATCCTTTTTTGGTTAAATATTTTCTAATAAATAATCACTTTAAGAATAATACTTTGTATGTTCTTAGAATAGGATGATACAATTTTCTACTAGATTTCTTTCAATAGTGATTTCGTTTTCTTTGGCTCTGTTATAAAGTTATATTATCTTAATATTTAACATTATTATGTTTAGGCTGATCATTTAATATTATGATGTGATTATTTGCTCAATTAGTTTCATCTCAAATTCTTTTATATTAATATAAACGATTAGATGTTCGGTTTTACTTTTACATTAAGACAAATAAATTATTCAGATCTTAAAATTTTAATGAAGTGGACACTAGAAATTCGATCAAAAAATCATTCACATTTCAGATCATCATATAGTCAACTGTATTAACAAATATACTATCCAGTCATTATACTAATCATCAGATCGTAATTTCAAAACTATCAATAATACTATAGGACAGAGATGGATGATGACTAGTAGTGAAATCCAGGAGGCACATTTCGTCCTGTTTAATACTCGTTAGCAGGATGTAGTTGCATTCCAGCGTAAATCTTCAACCTCGAACTCCAAACTAATACTATTCGTTACCAACAATTCAAACAGAGTCTGAGTAGTTGAATATATATATATATATATATATATATATATATATATATCGAGTAAAGCATTAATCAGATTATTTCATAAATTAGATGAAAGTGGTGATGGAATTATTTCATGCGATGAATTATATTCAGGATTGAGTAAAGCTGGGGTTTCCTCAACTGTTATAAAGGTAAGTAACAGTTCGATCTGCATTGAGACTCTTCATTTATCCACAAATGTTTGAAAGTTTAAAGCCAAAAAATAATTTATAAATTTATATAAGTACTAAAGAGAAAGCCATTCGAATCATACAATTATTTGAATTATTTGTTCACTATATCACGTAATCTTAACTACTGAATTTAAAATGTTATTCACTCGACAGTTATCTAGTGAGTAACACATATTAAAACATTTAATTATCATGTGTATATAATATGTCTGTTAGTTTATGATAGTAAAAGAATGAATCACGAATGATTGTTCAAGTGAAACACTGAATGCTCCCGATATAAGCAAGTATATTTGAAACAGAAACTGTTACTGCTTCAACAGTACTCGTTTATTGGTTGTTGTTACTATCACACAACGTCTCAAACCATTAGTTATAAGGATAACATGAACATCAAATCAAGATGTCAGCATCTATTTATATGACTCAGTGCAGCAGTCAACGACATCACGAACTGATGTCATGTCTTCATTTGTCCAATCCACTCTCTTTCACCTAACCTAGTCCGACGACAGACAACATCACTCACCGAGATGGATATTGATTAAGTATATGCAACACATGTCCAAACCAACTCACTCGATCACAATTCACCACTTCGTCAACCGATTCTCTATCTTCAGTCAGTGCATTATTCCACATTTCAGTATTGCTATTAAGGTGGTTCTATCATGCGTGATCGATGTCTCGAAAACACACATTATCGAATAGTACTAGTCTAAGATTATCCCTTCTTCTCAACAGTCAGGTTCTACACCCATCAGGTAGAAAAGCCTGAACTATCACTCAGAAAACTGGTTTTTCGGTTGACAGATGGGCAACTCACCTATGGTACAAGTGATGCAAATAGCAAAAGCCAAACACAGACCTCTGCATACATGATTTTGTCAGACACCAGTCAATCATGACTGATGAGGCTATACATTAAGGTGAAATTATTGGCACACTCAACTACTTCACTTTCTATCACTAGTTAGTTTGTTAGGGCAAATCACTTGAGAAGTATTATTTTTTATTGAGAGGAAGAGTAAGGCATATCTAACTTATTTGCATTGTTGCTGGTGATTGGAAGACTCAGTATTTTATCAGTCTTCATCAAAGGCGATTACATTATACGCGCATTCCGAGTCCATTAGTAAACCTCTTATTTTCGAGATCAATTTCCGAAATGTTAGTCCAATAGAAAGTTATTACCCAGAGGTTATCGATGATAAATTTAAGTAAAAATGGGAATAGTGGGCATTACTGACGAACGCTACTTGGTATTGATATTTTTTGTGACAGTTCGTTGCAAACTCTAACTTGACCAGGAGTACCTGTGTTTTTACGCTTCTCAATGACATACATTATTGCCTCTTTCGTGTCTGCTCTTCATGAGCCCTATATTGGCACTGGATCATAAATGACACTAATATTTTGGACACAAAATTAGTCAGACTGATTCTTGTGTGATTGGTACTATAGGGTTTTTGGCTATTTAATACAAACTCGGATGACCAGAGTTTGAGACAGTTCAGATAAGATTACGTTAAGTGTCCAGACTCTCGCTAACATCTCAACAACTTGGATCGGACCACTTTCACCAACCATTTTGGTGGATAATCCATCTGGATCTTTTGGCATCCTCGTTTTAGAATGCTGGCAGCATGTTATATTTGTGTCCAACTTTGTATTGGTGTTGAAGTTGTCAGGTTAAAAATGTCTTTATTCGCGATATGTGGACTTGATAAAAAATTGCAGAAGACGTTCACTATTATCTACATTCAATTTCAATTATGGTTAAATTTTTTGGAGCACTTTTATAAACTTCCTTAAAAGACAATGTTATTCAAACGGGAACAATTCGCATATTTCCTTGTACTATTATGATCACTATCTTGTATGTATTAATGTGTATGCTTGATTACATGATAGCCTACGCAAATCTCTCTAGCTTAAATGTTGATAGCTTAAATATATCGCTAGATGAATCATTCTCTTTCCCATGTATATATACACTCCAGTTCAATTTTTAGCCTTTGGTTTGCCTTACTGTGCCCTTATGCGATTAAACTATAAATTTGCCACTGTATTAGCTAGCCTACATATTCGCCTCTGCTTCACATTCGCTCGATGTGCTTGTAGCTTTGTGATTCGTGCTATCCACAAATAAACTGTAGTCGCCGCTTCTTATTACCTTTTGATTTCAAACACTATCGGGATTTATATAATAACGGTTATCAAGGTGATTGATTAACGAAACTAAGCCATTACAAGCTTGAAATCCATAAGACACATGAATGTGTTTTTCATTATGACTTAGCTTATCGACTTTAATGTTAAAATTGCTAGTTACGACTACTACATTCGAAACCTTGATTTCCTGAAAGGGGTCATGAAATTTCGTGTTTAACTCATCTTCTACTCCATTCAAACTTCGGTAAGTAAGATCATAGTCATAAACGATGAAGACACAATAACTTCATACTGTGGTACTTGAATAAAGAACATTATGTATTTTGATAGATTTCTTTTAAATCAGTTGACTTCATGATTATTACTTCATAATTGTTTAACCCTATTAGTATTTCCAATGTTTAAATGTATTCATAGTTCATTTAATTGAATATGAAATGATTCCATTTAATAAGTCAATATTTATTATAAAATAACATACATTGAATATTTCTTTGAAAAACTAGAAGCAATTCATCAGAAGTTATTTTTATTCAATAAAATCATCTTATATATATATATATATATATATATATATATATATCATTCAAGCATACATTAATTACACTAAGCTACAATGGTAGAATAATTAATTTAATAGTTTTGAAATAGTTAATAAAATATCTTGTACAATACAATACATTGTTGTATCCTGAATAGGCGTATTAAAAAAAATAAGCGATTCTATTTTATTTATTTCCATGACGTATAGCTTGTATATATTCTTCATATGTAATATTATTATCAAAATTTAAATCGAGCTTTTCTATAAGTTTCTACAAAATAATTGGAAGAATTCAGTCAATTATATATATGTTTACATTTTGATAAAAGATTGAACTCATTCAACGTGTACGAGAGATATACTGACTGTGAATCAGTAAAGATAGTCTCTTTTCAAATCGAAATATTTTAACATGGATATACTTTTGTAAATATTTTGAATTATAATAATTGATCACAGAGTCATTTCAGTAGTTTTGATTCTACAGAAACGGATCTACTATTAAAATAAGTAAATGTGACAATGAGTGACATTCATTTCAGTTGCACGATAAGAATTAGACACTACCGTTGTTAACTCTCAGCTCGAAGTTATCAGTATTCAATGATAGTTTAAAAATAAAAGTGAGGCTTTCTTTCACGTTGAAGATAAGCAAATTTGTTTTATTGTGATGTGTATCTCAATGTCACAACGAATTATACTTCATGTTCAAACATTCGTTTCTTAAAGTAATATACTTTGTATTACCTAGTCAATCATACCAATATATCAAATGATGTTTATAAAGGGTTTGGATTCTTACTAAACAATAATTGTAAAAATATAAATATTTGCTAAATAAGTCTAAATGGACTGAACTAAGGATTAAATATAGTATCTACACAATAGCTAAAATAAATCACCTATTGTCTGTTTGGTATCATTTGAAAAGTTTGATGAAGATATTCATACACATATATGATAACCATAAAAATAATAATAATTACATAATTAAAACTGTTTACATTAAAAAAACGTACATTTACTGCGTTCTCTGTAACTCCCGATGATCGTAATCCTTGTTTTAATTCTTCTTTTGAGAGTATACCATCACCACTTTTATCCAGTCTAGAGAACAAATTCAATAACATTTCTTCAGACATTTCTTTTTTTGTTTTTGTTTGATCTAACGATAAATAAAGCAATTTAACAAATAAAAGGATGATTAGGATATTTGTATAAACTTATTGAAAATTAAACCTAAATGTTTTGGCATATTTGAGACGTGACCATCATTAAGTACTGAATATGTAGAGTTCAGCTTCTGGATACTAAAGTATTATTTATTTATCTAAAATTTTAGTATATATTCGATTAATATTAAACTAATACGTGAGCTCAAGTTTACTAGCATTTTCAAGATTTAATCAAAGAATTATGGGAAATTACAAATAGTTTTTCTATCACTATTCTTAGAGTATGGCACCAACACATATAAGTATTACTGGTATGGGATATTATTATCACTGATTATTGAATAAGAAAAAGAGAATTCAGCGAAGAAAATTTTCTTTTCGACGAAATCATTTACTTAAGCTGTACATTCATATATATATATAGGTATATGGACATACATTTTCCATATAACTATATATACGAATGCACAGCTTAAGTAAATGATTTCGTTGGAAAGAAAATTTCCTTAGCTGAATTCTCTTTTTCTTATTCAATGACACTGTGGGTTATTTTAATTACCACTGATTAGTTTAGAATGATCAAAATTTTAAAATCTTCGTCAATCATTTTATATTTAAGCAAAATAATTGTTAACCGAATTCTTATTATAATCTTATCATAAATAGATATGAAAATCAAACAATCATCATTTCACTAGTTGGAATTATGAGTCAATTGAAGCTAGACCACCATGGAAAACCTGGAAGCACTGGACGGCCGTTTTGTCTTAGTATGAAACTCCTCAGTAGTGCGCATCCACGACCTCGCCGCCCGCGAGATTTGAACTGAGGACCCATCAGCAACGCACGCGAATGCTCAACCATTAGACCACTGAGCCGGCATCATTATTTGTCAAAATTTCGAAATATACTACTCAAGACCATCTACACTGCACAAATTTCATCACTCATTTTTCGTTGAAGTCAATCTTTTTTTTAACTGAACAGAAGAAACTTTAGATGAGTTAAATAATATCACATAAATAACATTCTATTAAGATGATTATAACTGACGTTAAAATGAGTGTCCATACACTGTTAGTTAGATTGTATAAATGAAAAATAAGACTGTGTAAAGCTCAAATGTTATGTTTCTTTCCATTTTATATTGAGTACAGTACTCTAAAGCATTAATTGACAGTTCATAATAACAGTACATAAAGTTGATGTATGATAATCCACAATTGGAAGAATATATGCCCTCAAATGCCCTAGTACGGCCGACAATGAGGAGAGTCAACTCTCCCTCTCAAAATGCTCTCACATAGCCACGTGCAAATAAGCACTGCCAGGGAACTCCTACTCACTGTTCTCTCTAGGCGGGGGTGTTATTTACAAAATTGAGAGAACGAAAAGCGAATGTCCGACTCTTTAAATGGGTTGATGGATATGGAGGATCTACATAAGGGGGTTGGAAAACACTGATTCCAAACCAATGGTGCACATGGGCTCCAGGATCTTAAGGAAACAAATGGTGTATGAACCAATCGTTGGTCACCGGCTACCACGTTACTGCATTTCCAGGCGTTGCTCTACTGCCTTGTGGATCAGACCTTTAGGTCGAAGGCTCCTGTTGTGGCCCCCTACGAACACCATCTGCTTCAGTTTGAGCACCCTGGCAGTATCCTAGCTCTCACGCAAATCGAATAATTTATGTAGCGCATATCTATTTGGTACTTTCTTGTACCTATCTTTATGTGTTTAAATAAATAAATAAATAAAGGATATATATATACATATATTATCAAGCTTAGATTAATTTCAAAGTACTCACTTAATGTTTCTAAACAATTAGAAAATCATATTTAACTCAGTATTTCGTATTAATTTATAGTATTTCAACTACAAGTCAACAATTTTCTGATGACCTGATAGTTTCTAACTGGTTTCTTATCACTTCAGTATTTTTTTCTCATAATAAATTAAAAATAGTAAATTCACTTTCAAAGTCTATAGATAAGAATGAATGATAATTAGCAGACTTATTTTATCCGGATGAACTGCCGTCTATCCTAAATTAATCAAGAAAATGTATATCTATATTTTTTTCTGATAAAAATCCATACATTTGAAAGTATATGAATGTATATGAAATATTATTTTGAAACCATGAATCATAATTATACATCCCGTGTACGGGATTGTGGACGCGCAATACTGAGGAGTCCCATACTGGGACGAAACAACAGATCAATACCTCCAGGTTTTTAATGGTGGTCTAATATTGATCGATTCATGATCTTAATCGAAAACTTTATACATATATTTTTACTGAAGTATTAAATTAATGAATATAAACACATGAAAGTATTCGACATAATACTTATGTTTGTAATAATCTCAGTGACTGAACTTAAAATTTCAATTGTTACTAAAATTTATCATATACCAACCAAACGTTTGTTTCAAATTTTGGGTGAATATTCATATAACTTATTTTCAAAACTTAAAATTACTTTAGCTATTGTATTTGCCTTACCTTCCAACACAACAATTAGTTTTAGGAGATTGTTAAGTATGCTTAATGGATTTATCAAACTATATTTTTTATTTTGTCTTATGTCAAAGATCTATTTTATTAAACAAACTTAAGTTGTGTTATTATAACGATTACAAATCATTCGCCTTACTCCTCTATATCTTGTAATAGAACTAGTCGTTAGTAAGCCAGAATTCGTGATTTAAGATAGACTACGAAGGCAGAAAACGGACCCATATTGAACACAGTCTTTGCAGCGTTTCCATCGCTTTTGAACACTTTCTAACAATTACTGAAGGCTTCTAACCCCTCTACTATCAAGGAGAATAAGAATTTGTTTTTGGGTTCATCTACAACGTTATGGCAGGTTCATTGTGATGCCTTATCTTTATGTGTTATAATCATTCATCTCTAAACTCATCTGTTTCTTTGACTTTTGTTGTTGATTGAGATTGCTTGAAATGTCTTCACAAATATATCGAACGGGCTTTTAATGGCAATGTTTTCTGCGTTCATTATTATTTTATCGTTACGGAACTGGTTTGCATGTCTCATCCAAGTTCCAAATGCAGTCTACATATATATATATATATATATATATATATATATATATATATATATATGCGTAACTTTCTCTTGGCGATTCATTGGTTTACGAATTACTATCGCGTTGAATATCATTTAAGCTTTTCTTACAAGCACAATTTGCTCAAGGATTTTTCCCACCCTCCCCTTTATCAAAACCTGTCTAAAAATGTCCATTCTTCATGGCGTTTTGATCATGGGTTTTAAAGAAAGGACCCGTGATGAACTCAAGGCCATTACTGGTCAATAAAGTCTCTGAAACTTCAAAATGTTTATATGTACAAACTAGTAAATCACAAACCGTGAGGTAGGTTTGAATAATAAAATAACTGTCCAAATGTTTTAAGGTTTTATCTCAAATGTGTTGTAGTTTATTAGTTAGTATGTAATTTGAAGTGAAAAGTTAACGAGAACTTCTTAGTTCGTCTATTTCTACACGATCTTTAAAGCCTTGTCATTCGATATACGAAAAAGTATCACTCTACACTTTTATGAACTTTGTAAACCTTCGGACACAAATAATCAAGAAAAAAAAGTTATTTAGAAGAGTCACGTACTCAAAATAATCCGAAATAAATTATTCTCCGAAGTGCTGGTTATATAATAATAAATGATTTTGAGACTCTTATTTGATTTGAATCGTTCCAATTCACTTGTGACTTAAAAGCATTTCTATGACATCAAAAACTGTACAAAATGTTCATCAGCATCAAATCTTCACAAACGCGACCAAAATTTTGAAATGCTAGATAACTTCCTTCGCCCAATCGATCTCAATGCAATCGATTTGCTTATTTTAATAAACTATGTTATATGTATATTGGTTGTTTGAATCTTCCTATTGATGTTTAGGACCACAACTGATCAATCTTTTATTGGCATATATACATCCTGTACGGATGGATTTGATATTACCTTAAATCACAATCATCCTGCTGCTAGCCACCACCAATCTCTGCTTATGAGTTATTTTTTACTTCTCGTCTACGCCAAAGTCAAAAATCCATTTTTGTTTTCTTGTATCGAACATTGACATTTAATTCACGTCTCTAGAAGTACCATCATGAAGTGTCTGAAAAACAGTGATTAACTTTGTACATCTATCACTACTACTTGAAACTTCCCCAAAATAAATATTCTGAAGCTGTGACCTGATAAATCATCGTCAATGTTGATAGAGATATTTTCATTAAGAGATTTCAACATAGCACATTTATAAACTATGATTCTATGTTTTGTTGAGTATAAAACCGTAAATTTGCACCATTATGAAGTCTTATGATCTGGCGTTAAATTCATTAATTAAACTCTGGATTCCAAAGACTTGTAGCGTGATATCAGTATGTGTTGGATATTAAAAATTAAACATCAAGTTTATAATTACTAGTATGCTATTGTACCATATTGACCAGTGATAATTTGGTCGTAACATTTATGTATTTATTGAAAGTTTTAAATCATAGTTTGGCGCTGTTTAAAGTACAACTCGTTTGACAATTAAGGAAAATATACTTGAGTTTAAAAATAAAATGATTATAATCGATTCATATGTATTCCATAAACTTTATATTGTTGTTTATCAAGTTCAACAATTCTGAAAGCGACAAAACGTAAGAAAAAACTATTTATTTTGGAACTACATGGAAAAACAACAGTGTCCATTTTCCCCATTTTTATTTAGCTTTATCATCGACCTGAGTCCTGGATTCCACCGTCCATCTTTGCTTATAATGCTTGTGAGTTAAGGTAATATTGAGACAATCCGGACAGGATGCATATATGCCGAAAAGAGACTTATCTAATTGCAGTCGTAAACATCAATGTGAAGATCTGAACAAACAATACAAAATGAATTCAAAAAATA